TATTGTATAATAAGTGCAATATGATTGTGACAGAGGTATTTGAAGATTTCAAAATTGCTTAACCTTGACGAGTCGGGTGTAAAACACAACCTCACGAGCTTCGCGCTTTGAGAAGTTCAATAGAAAGTCTCTTTTGATTTACGTAGAGACTTACTCATGTAACGTTGTATTAGAGAAAAGGAGACAGAAATTATTTTTGATATTTTTTTTTTATCAATTATTACTTAATATCATCAAATGCTCTGAATCTGTACTATTAATCAAGTAAAAATACATGTAGCCATTAGTCAATACGAAATATATGTCTATATATTACGAAAAATCCTTTGGTAACTGATTTCAAAGGACACACACTTCTTATATATCCTCATTCTAGTACTCCGCTTGTACTTTCTTAAAATCCGCTTTTTTCATCATCTTTCTGTTGAACTCAATAAGACTTTGAAAGGTATACATACCATTTCTTCGACGGTCGGAAAGCGTGCCATGTATCCTGAGACGGTTAGAAGAGCTGCAATTTCAGCTAGTATTAAAGCAAATCCTGAAAGCTGTAAACACCAGCCATATTGATACTTCGGAAGTCCATTATCCTCCGTAGAGCCGGATGTTGATGAAAAGCTGTATCTTGTAGGCGATTCGTAGGAAGCGTCTGAAAGTGCTGATGCCAGAACTATCAAATCGCCACCGAGAGAAAGACCTGCAAAAATAACCAAAAAATATTAATAAATTTATTGTTAAATTCAGTATTTTGAGACGATAAGATCATTATAAAGATCAGTTACGTAATACGGAACAACAAAGTAACGAGGTTTGTTATTTTAGTACCAATCGATATCATTTGTAAAATCACTGTTAATGTCGGTGTGTGGTTTATAGGTATAATTGCTTTTAGTGGGAGATAAGATCCTAAAGCAAAACGAGAGACAGCGCAATAAACTTTTTTCGCGTCGCGAGAGTTTAAGAAAAGGAAAAAATAGAGGATATCGATAGCAATTTGCAGTCGGAACAATTTCCTGGTAAGCTCTCCATTTGTTGCTAATTAGTTGCTCCATTTAGAATTTTTTTGCTTGTTTAAATTCTGAGAAATCAATAATAATATCCGTCCAAAATGGGTTTTGCTACTGCTAGCTTGACGACGCTTAAAATTTTTTTCAAATTTTTTTCAATCGACGTAATTTTTCAAGGTTAAGAGCTGATTAGTTTTTGGAGTTGAGCCGTTCAAAATTTATTCCAAAAAACCACTTTCAAAAAAAATTTTTCACAGTCTTTTTGAGATTTCTGGAAATCTATCGGTCCAAATTGTATTCAAAATCTAAGTTTGGCCAAGCCCTTTCGAATGGCGCTAACCATGATGAAATCGGTCAAATCTTTCAAAAGTTATAAAAGGTTTACATACTTACACACTAGTGATGTGAGGCAAAGCATGTGCTCGTCAATTGCTCGTCATTTGACGTCAATTGACCAACTCAAAAAAAATAACCGCCGGTCATTTTTCGAATTTAATTTTTCTAATTTAAAACTTGACCAAAAAATAACTGAAAAAATTTTGACGGTCATTTTCCATCTAAGTAGTTGAGCAAGGCAAATTTGTTTACTACTGTCAAAATTTTTAGATAAATTTTGTGTTCGTATTAATAGATATAGTGATTGTTTTTAAACAAATAATCTGTAGAATCAATTTCAGCAAATAAATTTCACCGGATTCTCAAGTCTAAAAAATTGACCAAAAAATGACCGAAAAATTTTTGACGGTCATTTTCCATCTAAGTAGTTGAGCAAGACAAATTTGTTCACTACCGTCAGAATTTTCAGACAAATTGTGTTTTAAATTATTAAAATATCGAGGTTGCATATGAAATAGATTGGTTAGATTCTTTTTTGAGAGGAATTTATAGTGAAAAGAAAAAAAAATGCTCATTAATTTTTGTGACTGACCAAAAAAAAATGACGTCAATTGACGAGCATTTGCTCGTCAATTGCTCGTGATTTGACCAAAGTTGAAAATGACCGTCATTTCACATCACTAGTCCCATCACAGTTCGGCAGATAACCAGTAGGCGCTCTTAATAAGATGCGATGGTCCCGGTAATTCAATAACAGCTATTGGTGAAATGGCCTGGAATTTGTTCTCAGTTTGATGAAAGAGTTTGCTGGTGTCAATTTGATTAAACGTGTCCCTCGATTATCGGTGTAGGTACCGAGCTGTAGTGTAGCGCAGTAGGCCAGCTAACTCCCCAATTCACCGCTGAAACACACCCCCTGTCCGAGGGGTTGTACAACTTAATTGCTGTCACATTGTTATTCCACTGTCAATTAAATTTAATGACTACATTGAGTTACACCTCTACCGTTATCTAGAGACCACGAGTGTGATCGTTTTTGCATAACGATCTCTATTTTAGATTTTTCTTTTTTTGCTTTTAAATTATTCATTATTTTCCGACTATTCTATTTCTTCGATCGATTGGAAATATTTTTTACGTGCGAATTTTTTAATATTAATAATTCTCGAAATATTTTTACTCTAATTTTTTTTTAATTATTAAAAAAAAATTCTTGATTACTTATTGCATAAAAAAGATTATTTTTTAACTTTTAATAAATATTTTTTAGAATGAAAAATTTATTTACAGTTAATAAATATTTATTAACAGTTAATAAATAAAGATTTAATTTTTTTACCAATATTACAATAATAATTTACAATATTAAAACAAATATTCTATAAATCTTCATTATAGCATTTTTTATTTGATTTTTTTTATTAAAAAAAAAAAATATTAATTTATCTTTTTTGTTAAAATTTATTAAATTACTAAAATTATTATATAATAAAAATTTTCCAAATAGAATTTCAAGATTGACTTTTTATGTAAGGGTCTAAATAAATATTAATAAATAATTCATAAAGAATTAAAAAATATTTATTAACAATTAATAAATAAAGATTTAATTTTTTTGAAGTTTCCAATATTAAAATAATAATTTACAATAAGATATAAATCATCATTACAGCAGTTTTTATTTATTGATTTTTTTATAAAAAAAAAAAAATTATTAATTTATCTAATTTTTTATTATTTATTAAATTATTATGTGATAACAATTTTCAAAATAGAATTTTAAGATTTAATTTTTATTCAAGGGTCTAATTAAATATTAACTGTTAATAAACAATCCATAAAAAATTAATAAATATTTATTAGATCATCAAATATTAAAAAAATCAACAAATAAATCAAATTAAAAACTAAAAAAAAAATCTTTGAATAGATATTTTAAATTAAAATTCAAAATTAATAAATCACTAATTATTAAACCCTCATAAAATGAAATTAACCGTAATAACCAATTAATTACACATTACCCCAGACGCTGACGTTACAATAGTTATGTTTGCGCAATAAACTTGAAAAATTTACCGAACTAGGACGCTCGAAAGATATACATTGATAGTGTACCGTGAAGAAGCAATTTGCATACCCACAGACAAACTAATAAATTATCCAAATACATATAGAAGTGTATACAAATGCCTGGCACACATAAGTATCTCGCTATTCACAGTGCTCCATCCGAAGGAGGAATTGAAGCGGAAAATACTAAAAAGATACTTGACAAATAAATAGCTAATAACCCGGGCATACATGATACATCTATTATAAAGTACTGGTACTCCTCCTTATCCTCGTACGTTAATACATTCATACCCGCGGAAACGAACGGAAAAATATAATAGGTGAATCGAAGCGCGAAATGACATACGTTAAATTCCATGTTGTAAAACCTACTAAACCGTCGGAGGAGACTTTCAATGCAACTTGTTGCGAGTTTCCCGGTGCCATTTCGTTTTATTTAAATTTCTATACACATACACATCCACATACTTTATTGTGCGTAAATGTGCGAGTTATCTGAATGTGTATTATGCTAATTCCACTGTAGAGTGAATAATAACACACCATATACTAAAACCAATGGGCTGCGTAAAAGATACTTGCCACTCTAATTTGTATCATTGTAAATGGCGACGTCATAATCATAATATTATCCATTTTATCGTTGCATTTAAACTTACAGGTGGATTAAGCTCAACACTAATTCTCGTTTGTAATGATCCATTAACTTGTTAATGACACACTACTATTCAACGCGTTAAATCCGCTTTGTTCTTCTAAATTGTATTCACTAAATTTTCATTTTATTTAACCATAATTATCATCAATTTTTAATTAATTAATTAATTAATTAATTAATTTAAATAAAACCACAATAATACAATAATTAATTAAAAATCACTGTAAAAATAAAACAGCACTCATTAAAATTATTTAAGCTCACAATTTGCACATTCTTACCACAAAAAATAATTTTAATTAATTAATTATTGCGAATATTTATAAAGTAATCGGAGGACTCGCGGATTTCGCGAGCACGTGGCACAGAGACTTGGGAGGGAGAGTTTACGTCGCGAGTGGCTGATGCCGACTACGAAAGCTCCTCTTCGCGCTATTTTACACACACGGTGAGTTCACCTGGGCGCAGGCGCATTGGAGCACCCACGGGGACCAGTTTTGATCCTGCATAGGCAAGGATGTATAAAGGGGTGTTTGTGTGTGTGTATGTGTGATATGCTCCTGCGAGACTGGGGTGGTATTGTGTGTGTAAGAGCGTTAAAGTTTCGGGTGACACGTAAAACCTGCATCAAGTTTACCCATTCCCCGGATACTGTGGATCATCTGCGTAAACATCGGCTTCCGGTTGTGCTTGTGTGCTCACTTGCTTAAGCCAGCAATGCTTTGTGGGTCAATGGTCCTTACCTGTTTAGGTATTTATGTTTATTTGCGCGGCGGTTGCTCTGGTTTTTGCGCGAGGGGCTCATGCCAGCTGAGAACACTGAGGATTATTTATTTTGAGCAGTAAGGTGATAATATTTAGAGGGAATTTATTGATTTATTTGGAAAAAATTTTTTGGAAATTAAATGTTTAAAAAATAACCAAAAAAAATTTTTTTTTAATTTTTTTTTGCTGGATAAAAGTTAGAAAAAATGTTTCAATTTTATTTGTGATAAAATTAAATTAAAAAAAATATCGCTGTATTATTGATTTATTTGTAAAAAATTTTTTAGAAGTTAAATGTTTAAAAAATAACGAAAAAAAAATTTTTTTTTTCCGGATAAAAGTTAAAAAAAAAATGTTTCAATTTCATTTATGATAAAATTAAATTAACTTAAAAATATCGCTGGAAAATAAATATTTTTTCATCTCAATTATTTTGGTAATTTAATAACATGTTTGTTGAGTACGCGTATTTATTACTTTAAATCAGGGATAGGGAGTAAGAGTTTTACTCGTTTTAAGCTATACTCCTCGAGCGAGCAGTTCTGAACGCACAGATACTATACTCACTCATGAGATATTTGTCCGTCTAACTATCCTACTCCGAGTAAGAGCGAACAGCAGTCTTGTTAAGATACTCTTTTTAGGATACTCGATTGAGGCGCTCGGTTAACGAGGTGAGTGGTAGTGAAAATTCGCCAGCCGCTCCCAAAACGAGTGATAGGGACCAAGACTCCGAGCCGAATACTCCTCCCACCCTTACTTTTTTCACGATTCATTTCACATAAATTTCGACTGTTAAGTGTTGAATATTAGCGCCCTCTGAAGAAGGTAAATAAAAATGTAAGCGATAAGTTTTCTAGTGTAGGCGGTACAGTAAAGAAATTTTTTTTTTCAAATGCCTATTACTTTTTCGAAATTTTACATATTAAAACGTTTTTTATAAATTATTTATAGTAATCTGTACTCATTAATAAAGATATTTATATTAATAAATCCAGTGAACAGGTGTACTGGTTCCTGAGTTACTAGAGATCTTACCTTAATACGAAATAAATTAACTAATTGTATATTATATTATATTATATTTAGTTTATATTATTTATATTTTTATAGCTGCATATTTATTAACGCTTAACTAAAAAAAATGTGATTTATGATATTTTGTACAATTGGCATCACTTTGATTAATTATTAAAATTATATTACTATAAATTAATTCAGATATATAAAACATTCAGCATTTCTATAAAAGCAACAATAATTATGATACACGAAAAATAATAACTATAAAATATAATTAGCGATAAAGTTGATTCATTTAGTCGTCCTGGTAGTCTGCAGGAGCTCCAAGAATTCCTACACCAGCGAAAGCAAAGAGACACAAAATCAAAGCCAAAGTTATCTTTTGGCCCTCCATGATAATTTATGTTGCTTTTTGGTCAACGAAATTTACTTGATTAAGACAGTATTTTTTTTGCAAAAAATTATTTTTTTGTCATTATGTTTTTTATTTTGTTTTTTTAATTTTTAAATGAATGTTTCTTAAGAATATGTTTTTTTAGTGGGTAATTTTGACGGTACACAGACGGACAATACCGACATTTGAACCTTTTTTTCAGGTGTACTCTATTAAGATGGTCTATAAGATGATGTTCTGTGTAATATATACTACTACAATGTCGGCACGAATACGTTTTTGGAGCATGAAAAACCATATGCTCCTTAAGCTTAGACTCCCATTTAAAAACTTTTTCACATGTTGGACATTTAAACTCTGAAAGCCAGTAAAAAAAAAATATTAATATTTAATCGCAACGAAAATAAATATAAACTTACATAAATACACTGTAAAAAAAAGACTGTGGTAAGTCCAAGCGGTGTTAAAAATTTTCCGGGCTTAAAATATTTTTCTATTCACTAAATTACTACTATTGGATAGTAAAATGCAAAAAATCATTAACAATCGTGTTTAATAGATTTTTCTCATATTTAAATCTGCAATTTTCTCGATTGTTTTATTTTTTGAGATTTTTTTTAATTTTAAAACGTCAATGGGACAAGAAAACTTCAGATTCAAATTCAGTGGAATAAAGTCCATAAAAATCATACTCAATCCAAATCCAAAAAATTTTTTTCATCTCGATAGTTTCGATTTTTGCAATGATTTCTTGCATAAATGGTAATAAAATATAAATTAATTATTACCTTTTTTATGGGTCGCCAAATGTTTACGAAGATCAGTATAGTTATCGAATTTAACCCCACAGGCTTCATATTTGCAGTGATGTTTTAATTCATGAATTTTAGTGTGCCTTTTGAAGTTATTCAAACGATTAAATGATTTACTACAAAAGCCACACTGGAATGATTGACCATTGTGATGGAGTGCCACGTGCTCTTTAAGTTTGTCTTCGCTTCTAAAGAATCGTGTAGGAAGATCTTCCAAATTTTCGTTATTTTCAAAACTAACTTAGCACGTAGTGCATTCGTAAGTCGTCGATTTACTGTGAAATTTACTTTTAGTAAGTTTTTGCTTTTTAACACTTACAGTCATTTTGAGACAGCGCGTCAAATGACTTTTCTTTATACCTCGGTCGAAAGTACGCAAATTTTGCACCTTTTTAAAGCAGAAAGTTCAAAATTCGTGCATTGGTAGAGCTACGCATACGTCTTTTGTTACAGCGGGAGCAAAAAATTTTCTATCGCATTGAAACATGTGTGAAGTTGCTTTCAGTAATTATGTTCGTTATTTGTTACTAACCGTATTTTGATTACGCTGATTGTATATTTTACAAAACATTGAGAATTTAAATCATGAAGGATTTAATTTATTTAATTAACAAAATTATGTCGACTGACTGTTTTGTCGAAAACTATCCAATGCGGATAATTCCCGTAATTGTTTTTAAAAATATGATGAAGTTGGGATTAGGAAATTAAATAATAATACTTGGATTTTTTGGGGAACAATTTAGAAGAATTTATTTGTCCCCAAAGGAGGAAAACCCAGCTAGGCTGGGAAAAAACCTCCTTGATGAAATTATACAAGTAAATTGTGTGTGTGTAAGTGTGAATGTGTAAAATTACGTTGCAATAACGCAATAGGGGTGAGCTCAGCCGCCTTAGATAGAAAATTATCGATAATTTGAATTAGATAAGTCCCAAGGTGGGAGCTGGTAATATCTAATTAATTTGAACTGTCTCAGAGTGAGAGCTAATAATATTCAATTGATAACAGAATGTTAGTCAATTGAGTTTGATGTTATTCGTGTAGAAATTAGTCAAATGATTTGAAATTGGAATTTAATTATTTATAAGTTAAATTAAATAAGATCGTAATTAAATGTTAATAATTGATTTAATGTAATTAATTGTTAATATCACGCGTCAATTATGGATTGACTAAAGCCGCGTGGCTGATGCAATCTTTTGTTCACGGTGGCGCGTAATGGCCGCGTGGCGTCACTAAATAAATTTACTTGATTTTATTTATTTATGTTAATTCACTGAATTATTAAACTGATTTAAATGAATTGAGAATTTAAAGTATAATTGAATCTACTATAATTATTTATATTTAATAAATAATTTAAATATTTGAATGAATGTGAGATGCAAGTAAGAATTGTCAGAATTGATTAGCACAGAGTAGTCGTAGTAGTACAAGAGTCCAAGCACAACTGTTGCAGCAGACCACGCGAGCCGGCTTCTCTACCGCTAACCAAGGCGCGCATGCGTGACGGCCATAGCGTGATACGATTATTCCCGAGTTCATACGATTATTCCCGAGTTTTAACGATTAAGCCCGAAGGCGTAATTTCTCTTATAAGTATTTGACTAGATCTCTTTTCTAGCGGTTAAACACTGACATAAAAAAATAATGTGAATCTTGTTGATTTATTAACTTATCGATAGTATTATTATTCTTTATATTTCCCAACCATAAAAAATGTATGTTAGTTAATTTTGAAAATGTTTATGTTTTGTTTAATTGAACAGTTTATCGTGTTTAAATAAAATAAGTCTTTTATTTATTTACATTGGTTTCTTTGCTTTGATGCCTGCCCCCCCCCGACCAGCAGCATTCGCTTCGCTCGTGCCGCAAATGTCGGGGGCAGGCATCAACTTCTTTTGATATAATATACACAATATTTTTCGTACTTTCGACCGGCTATAAAGAAAAATAGTATACACTACACTGATAGTGTACAAAAAAATTTAGTTTTACCTTTTTTCATCATCGCGATTTGTGTGATTAGTTCTGATGTGGGTATTTAAGTCAGAATTTTTGGCATAGCTTTTCGAACAACCCTCAAACTTACATTGAAACGGTCGCTGAAAAATGAAAACATTTTAGTTTTTTTTTTTTTGAGTTAATATTCAGTTATTATTTATTTTTTGAGTTATTATTTCAGTTATTATTCAGTTGGAAATAATTTACTTACTTCGCCCGTATGCTGTCGATGATGTAAAACTAAATCAGATCTCCTTTTAAATTTTTTGTCACATCCGTCCCAATCACATCGATGAAATTTTCCAAGATCTTTATTTGTGTCACGACTAGTTTGGGGATCGTTATTTAATTTATCGTCCATGTTTTTTTTTAATTTTCGTTTTGACCTTGAATCTATACGGGAATGGTTAGTTATATATAAGTAGTATGGGGCATAACTGGGGAGACACAACAAACCCCCACTCCGCGGCCACTGGCGCCAGACCTTTTCCTCACCCCTCAGCGGGGGTGTTGGGGACGGCTGTCTGGGTCTTTTGATTGACAATATACTTGTTGAAAATGTGTTTTCTCGAATGTTTACAGATGTCATGGCAGGGGGGTAATTAAGATGGTAAGGATATGTTTTTTATGTTTAAAGATGTAGATTGATGTTTGGGACCTGTTCCTCGTTATCTTGGCAGGGAGGGTCTTGGCGTTTTCTTGAGAGGTGATAATTGGGTATGGGGAAAATGTATGGTGGGTATTTGCATGTATAAAGGAAAACATGTGGTCCTTTCGGCAGGGGGCCTTGGAGAAGTGTGAGGTGTTTTGACAGGTGACATGATTAATTAAAAAATGACTTTTGAGGATAAAAATATTATGATGTATAAAAACCGGTCTAGGAAAAGTGCGAGGATAATGTTTTCAGAGGGGATGGTTAGGGTTCGTATATTAAAACCTCGATGTATCTCTAGGAGTTATACTAGAAAACTTGAGATAGAGTGGAGAGAGGCAGAGCTTCTATTTGAGGTCTTTACGTTTTTCCAAATAAATTTTTCATCATTCTTGTCGCTAAGCGCATACGCAATGGAGCATTCAAATTTCCCTGTAATCGACGAGGTAATCGAAGCTGAATTATTAGGGTTATTACCTGAAAATTTAGTAAATCTAAACTCACTTCATTTAGAATCACTTACATCGGGTGAAGTGACAAATAATGTGAATAATTTAGCTAACGAAAATGAGGATATAGTGTTTTTGCGTGAGTATGGGATTACAATGAGCCCTCAACATCACGTTGAAGTTGAAGATTTTAATGAGGATTTGTTTGATGGTAAGTTGAGAAATTATTTCTTATTATTCGAGGTTTTACTATTGTATAACTTAATTTGTATTAATACTCTTTTTATAATTAGGCATCATACAACACGGAAGAGGAAGAGAACAAGATCGTATTATTGAAGAAGATGGCGAGAATTCCAATAATGAAGACAAAATAATAAACGAAGATGTTGAAAATAATATTATAGACCAGCCGCTAATTCAAACTTTTAACGGAGTTCAACGTCTTGAAAGGTTTCGGGTAAACACTCATCTGATGGAATTTCGTATACAGGCTGCCCCCCAAGGTGTCAATACAGTTCACTGGACCTTAAGGGCTTTTCGCAAAGTTTACAATAAAATAATAGAGGCAGGTGGAGCTGGACACAACCGATTTTGTTTGAGTTTTCGTTTTGATGGGTAACAGGGTAATGCAGCATTTCAAAGTATGCGCCCTATTGATGGATATGAATTTGAACAATTGTGGGATTTAGTGAACAAAATTTCGCAAAGTGCTGGTGGTTTTAATGTAACAGACACTTTTCAAATAAAGTTACACATTGTGGAAGCAGTGATTGGACAAAAATATTCCGAGGCATGCGACAGAAAACGTCCACCTGGAGTGTTAAAAATGAATAATAATGATAATCTTTGTTTACCTAGAGCTCTTGTTATGGCACTAGCAGGGCAAAGAAAAATAACCGAAAAGTCCTCCATTGGACCATTGTATGAAGAATGGAATCGTATACGTGATTCGCGAAATAAAGGAAATTCTTACCAAAAAGAGGAGGCTTTGAAACTTATCGCAGAGGCTGGAGTGACAGTACCTGAGAATGGTTGCGGATTACCAGAAATAAAAAAATTTCAAGCATATTTTATACCAATGAAAATAGCGATCATTGTGTATAAATTGAAAATCACTCCTTCAACTGCATCAGACGACGTAATTTTCGATGGGTCAAACACCGTTATGAGACCGTGCCGTTTGGTCTGAGACTTTTCTTATTTTACTGGCCTAGGTATGTAATCTACTATCGATTATATGGGGCCATTTTTCATATATAATTATGTATAAATATATATAATCTTTTTTACCCGGGTATATGTAATTGATGTACACCCATTGATGAATTAATCCAGCAGCATACGATTTAGGAAATCCAATTTAATTTTCTGATTCGTGATGTTATTAAAAATTCTTGTTTAATCAACTTGTTAGATAACGAACAATCTAAAAATCACGGTATTCATGAATGCCTATATTTTTAATTATTTTACAGTATTGTTCAATGGACTTTGATTGCAAATCGCATTTGTAAGCAAATTGATTCAAATGACAATGAGATGGCAATTTTAGAAAATTTAGTCTTTATCTTAGGATTTAACATGTTAGTAACGATGATTTAAGCAAAGAATATAAATGATGAATTTACATTTAATGTTTTTAGGGCTTTGTTGTCAGTTAGATGGAAAAAACAGTAACAAAACACAACCTAGCAAAGAAGACGTTCAATCTTGGATAAGCCGTAAAATAACCTATTTTAAAGGTCCGAGAATGAAGAAAAAAAATAAACGCTACAGAAAAAGACATTGGATCAATTTCATTGATGATTCCGATGAAGATGAAAGTATAGGATCACATATATCTGAAAGACAAAATTCAGATGATAGTGATGACGAAAATAATCGTAAGAAGAAAAAATTCTCAGACAAAAAAAAATCATAATTTAATTTGATATGACTTTGAACATATAAATCGGATTTAAAGTTGCATTTTCCTCGAATAATATAAATTTTAGATAATGCAGAATAATGTTTTAATCGCTGATGTTCTAAAAGAATTTATTAATGATTTATCTTTATTTTGTGCTTTTGACAGTATCAATCACTTTATACTTTTTTACCTATTATTCGACTTGATCGAATATCTAAGATTATTTTATCATAATTAAAGAATTTTTATGTTATATTTTTTCTCTATCAAATGTAAATGGACGAATTCTGTACTAAAAGAAGAGTAGTTTTTATTTAGGTTTAAGTTACTTAATGTATTATTTTGTTTTTTATTAATATCTATTACTATATAACTTCCCGATTTTTGAAAATCTGAGATTTTTAGCGGGAAGTTAAAAATATTAATTCAAAGTCGACTGACTAAATATATTCCAAAATTTTAATGCTGAGGTAAAACTTGTATTTTTTATTAATTAGATAAATACAATTAAAAAATAAAAACTTTCGATTTTTTATTACAAGTATTATGATTTTTTTTTCCTTCCATTGTCACAGTTGTGGTTAATTAACAATGCAATGGTTTTTTACAATATTTTTTCACCATAATATTAAATATTAATTAAAAATAAGCGACAGCTGAAAATTGTTTCTGTAAACTGTTAATAGTAAAAAAAAATTTTCTTTTTAAAACTACAACCAGTTTCAATATAAAATTACGAACTGTAAAATGCTTTTATAAATAAGTTGAATTGTTTGTTGTTTAGATACTCAACAATATATAATATCAGTTCAAACGGTAACGGTATAGCTTTTCTGAGTAATGAAATTTTCTTCAAATTTTCGAGATGTCTTAATCTTTCTTTAGCATCTTTTATCCTGATTTTAATTGGAATGTAATACATATTATAGAAATTACAGTAGTCATGACGCTTTTTGAAAACTTTATCTAGGGCATCCAGTAAATTCTCTTCTCGAGCCAAAAATTTTAATTTTTTGTAGTCAAAAACTTGCATTAAAAAATCATACATTGTCATTTTTTTATCGCCGAATTCAATAAAGTTCTCCTGTAATTCTTTTTCAATGAAATCTATTTTGTAGTGAATTACAGTCTCTCTGACGTGTCCGTCACTGGCAATTAATTCATTCATCAATTTTATTTCTTCTTCTGGAACAGGTAATCTGAATACACTCCTAAAGACCAGATCTCTTAAAGCAACACATATGCAAATATATTGATACTTTCTAAAAATTACTATTGGAGTCCTTTTTCGAAGAAATCGATCATTGTTCGGATTAAAAAGTACTAGATGCTCAGAATTTTCATCTATAGGAAGAGTAGCGTAGTACAAAACCCTAGATAAGGGCATAGAAGTATAAAAACGCAAAGAATCCTCCAGTAGCATTGGACAACCTCTGTAAGCCACCAGATTGGGTAAAAATGTTGCGGGATCTTTGTTTATTAGTGCGTACATGTCAGCCCCCAAACTTGACATTAATGGAATAAATTGTTGGTCGATTGATGCATCAAGATACAACGCACTTTCATGATATCGATATTTTCCATATATTTTAGGATGAAATGGATAATGAGTTAGCGGTACATCATCATTATCGCGGTGGTTTATCAACTTTTCCCTCAACTTAGGATCCTTAACATTTGACATAATGACTGGAATATAATCATAAAAGTCGTTTTGAGCAGCGTACATCAGCAATGTTTTATTTGTAAGGCTTATAATGTCTAAGTTGACTTTTTTGAGATGTTTAATTATTGATGGTTTATTGTAAATAACAGTATATGCAACTAATGGCATTTTGTCACCAAAATCAGGACACCATTCTCTATTTTTATAGTGTTTTGAAAAAATTTCTTGTCCAAATTCGGCATTAACATTTGCATTAGCTTTCACCAATGTTTTTATTTTACTGCATAGTTTTGGTTTGGGAGATCTGTTAGATTTGTCTAGTGGTTCATAAAAACAAGCTAAATGAATGGGTTGAGTCCCGTCAACAGCCATTGCATTGACATCTGCATTATATTTATTAACTAATAACTTCACCATCTTATCTTTCTTTTTCATGCATGCAACATGCAATGCTGTGAATCCAGCAAATTCTCCAATTGTTATTATCGGTTCATTTACATCCATTCCATTTTCTAATAACAATTTAAGATCTTTCAATTTGTCATCTTCGATGGCTTGATACATCAGCGAGTGGCCAGCTGTTGTTGGATTTAATTCAGGATCCATTTTATATCTTCTTTACTATAATTATAATAATAATTAATAAATAAATATTGTTACGTCGAAACGTATTTAAAATCTA